TTTTTCAACTTGTTTTTGAATAGTTCACAAACATTTCCTACATAATCCAACATACAACAGAGAAATGGTACATCTTTTTCTTGCAATTTGTATACAGTGGAAAAACATGCATATATATTTATACAAAGTTTAATAGACACTAGAAGGTTGACAGTTTAATAAGTCTATAGGTGAGAAATGTAATAAAAATAATCCGAATTTATTAAGCATCCATCACTTCCATAACCAAGTATTACTTTAATAAAATCCACAGCTAATTAGACTTCTGGAATATGCTTACAGTTTTTCGATTTGTAGTACTGCTGCCACCTTGGTTTTTTACTTAACAGAAAGAAAATATATTTGTTTTAAAACTAAAAGTAACATTTTTAAACCACATGAACTAAGCTAAGATTATTAAGTATAAGGTAGATGTATTTTCTTACATTCTTCGTATGTGTAGTGAGATTATACTGAATCTGTAAAATTAACCTTTTAATTTTACAGGTTAAATTAAAATTAACTTTTTAATTGTAGATCTAAAGTTTATACACAGGTAAAATAAACGCTTAAGGATTGGGAAACAAATTTAGCAGTGTTTGTTTTGTTGATCAGTCTTAAAACTAAGTAAATTGCTTAGTGATGCTTAGTACACTGATAGAAAAGGTTGTTTTTTTTAATTTTTAGAAAGGCTGTGTGGCTTCGGGTGAGGAGGTGAGGAGCTTGTTTTTCTAATGTATTTTTTCTCTTCTATTCTCTCTGTAGGATAACTTCAAACTAATGTGTACCAATGCCATGATTTACAACAAACCAGAGACTATTTATTATAAAGCTGCGAAGAAGCTTTTACACTCAGGAATGAAAATTCTTAGCCAGGTAAAGGGAAATCTTTGTCATAAATAACAATTACTATAAACTGTATCCTTGTTTGTGAGTCATAGTGATACAGATTCAAGTGTTGATTTCATTTTACTGGCAGATCATTAAAATCAGATCAAATTGGATTAAAACTCATTAAAAAAATTAAGGCAATAAGATTTTCATTTGGAATTGTGGCAAATATTAATAACTTTTAGTTTTTTTTCTGGGTTTTTTTTTTTTTTTTAATTTCTTTAGAGGCTTAGTTCTACCTATAAGATTAGATTGAAATGTGAGACTTTAGGAGAAAAGCTCACTTATTTCCTTCTGTAGTGATGAAGTATGTTTGGTTCAGTCTTGGTGAAGCACAGGATCTCCCTTTTAGTAGAAAGAAACAAAATATACAAATGAGCAAAGCATGGTAGTCCTTGCCTGTAATCTCAACACTCAGGAGACTGAGGCTGGAGGATTGCTACGTGTTTGAGGCCAGCCTGGGCTACACAGTGAGTTCCAGGCCAGCCTGAAGTACATAGCAAAACCTTGTGAGGGAAAAAAAAAAAAAACACCACAATAATAATAGTAATAATAACAATGAGAAGTCGTTTGGAACTGTATCAAAACCACCTCTCCACCAGAGCAAGCTCTTCCTTGAAGCATAACAATTTGTATATGAAAGGCAGTGATGGGAGTAGAAAAGTATGCAGAGAAACTGACACATAATTGTCAAGCAGGATGAGAGAGCTTAGCCATGAAATGCCTTATATAATGCCAAGAGATTGGGTCATCCAGCAGTGGCTGTTGAAACAGCTTATGAAGGGTAAGCCAGGGTGATACTGCATCTCTTGGTTTTAAGAAAGAATTCAAAAGAGAAGTTGCACTTTCAAGCTTTTGCTCACAGCCGTGAATAGCAGGATAAATGTACTACTTATAAAGTACTTTCGGGAAATAGCATGACCCTGGCACCATACCATGGCAGACAAGCAGAGGTTCGAGTGCTGTCTTGTCTTCCACTGATTTGTGTGCCTTGGACAAGACAGTAGCCACCCTGGTTCCCAGTTTTCTCTCCATAGAGAAAGTTTAATCTTTAATCTCCAAGATGATTTTCAGCATGAATGTTCTGGTTCCAGGTAGGACTAGAAGAAAGAGGAAACTATGAAAAAAGAACACCTGACAGAGTTTGTAAAGGAAGGTCTAAGCCAGGTTGGAGGAAAGAATCAGAATTAAGAACTTAAGTTCAGGGGGGCCTGCCCCTTAGCTCAGTTCTTTAAGTGGCTGCTTCAACAAAGCAGTCAGGCTCAGGTTGCTGTGGTTCGATCCCAACAACTCAAGCCAGCCAATCATGCCCTGAAGGCATTCGGAGAAAAAAAAAAAAAAAAAAAAGAGAGCCTAAGTTCAGACTCGGGAATTAAAGGATAAAAAAAGTGAATCATACATAATTGCATATGGTTTTCCATTTTTTTTACGGTGACTGTCTGTACTACAGTTTTACATTTAAATAAATGCTTTATTGTGTAGTGTCTGAGTGTCTGTGTACTTGGTCCTGAGAAGTTCTTAGAGCCACTTAGGAAGTAGAAACATTTGGTGATTATTCTTACACTCCTAATATTTAGACATCAATTCCCACCCTTTCTTAAAAGATGTGGAAAAAAAGTAATTAAAATGGTTACTCATCTTTGGCAAAATTGCAGAGGAAGGGAGATGCTTAGAATCTAGAGCCACGCCGTTCTCCAAATTTGAAAGCCTGGGAATACCTGTTACAATTGAAGTAAATATGTACTCAGCAAATGTACCTTTCACTCTAAAGTATGTGCATTGAGGTTTTAGGGAAAAGTCTTGGGGGCCTGCCCCTTAGCTCAGTTCTTTAAGTGGCTGTTCCCACAAAGCAGTCAGGCTCAGGTTGCTGTGGTTCGATCCCCACAACTCAAGCCAGCCAAACCTGCCCTGAAGGCATTCGGAGGAAAAAAAAAAATTCTTAATGGGGGCCGGTGAGATGGCTCAGTGGAATAAGCGCTTCCCTAGCAAGTACAATGGCCTGAGTTCAATCCCCAGTTCTAGAAAGAAAAAAAAAGAAAAATCTAATTATTGGCATCAATTCTGATCTATCATCATTTTCTCTTTAGAAATAACGCAGTTGATCCAGGTATCTCTGTATTATTACTAGAGGTGGGAAGCATGGAGAGCAAACAACTTCTTCACTCTTCTCTTCTTTTTCCCGGTCTCTCTTCTCATTATCATCTTTTGCTCAGATCTCTTCCTCTTTAGGAGCCCTGTGTTGACTGTTCTCTCCACCCTAGGTGGGAGGGATCTTTACAACTGTGATTTTAAAATGTTTAAATTTAGACATTCTGAGTTAACTCTACTGCTAATTCCTCCAAAGTGAATGTCCTTCCATGAATGAGATCTTTTCGGAGATAATTGTTTTTTAGTGTTCATTGAAGACTGTAGTCATTCATCACATTTTGTTATACTCTGATAATGAGTATTGGTATTCAGTGTTATTTTTGTAAAGAATGAACAGATGAAGAGTAACTCATTTGCTCTCCTAAATAAATACTTTAGCACAATGCTGTACTAAAGCACAAACAGTACAATTTGTTGAATAGTAACTGGAAACAGACCAGTCAAGGTTCAAGTCCTAGCCCTATGATTTAGAAGCTGTGTGACCTTAGGCGATGCCTCCTTTTGTAGCCTTTTTCCTCTAAAAATGGAAGTAGTAATATCACTTACCTCACAGAGTTGTGTTTGGTACAGGAGGAAGCACTTAATAAAAGTTGGCTATATTAATGGCAAATAATCCACACATTTAGTCCTTTAATATTTTAAGATTGGGGACAAAGAGCATGCTGACTTGGAGACATTTTAATTACCAAAGGGATAAGAAAGGGTCCATGACAAGAGACCTAGTGTTAGTCATTGGTTCTCTGACTTTGGTTACTCAGTAGGCATTTTTGGGTGATACTGCTCTTGTTTGACCTCTTGTCCTTTCTAGCTTCTGTTCTACAATGTCTCCACTGCCAATTGCAATATAAACCTAAAGGGCTGCACCTCACAATTTTAGTCAGTGACGGGTCTCCAGTTCAAAGGCAGAAGTCTTAGGAAAAACTTTGTCTCTTTAAAATTTATCCAAAGACCTTAATCCCCTAACCACAAGGAAAATTTCATAGTGCATGTTTTACAGAATAGAAACAAGCTGTTTTTGCTTGGTAAGAACATTGTGCGCTCTGAGAAAGAACTATGCGTGCAACCACTTACTGTCTTCAAGATGTATCATTTTCACATAGAAAATGCAAAGTGGTCAGTGATCACCATAGGATAAGCGTATAGAGGTTCTTCACATGCTTCAGGTTTAAATACTTAATCACTCTTAAATTTCAAAAGATAAAGTGGACAGTTACTTATAAACTTTTAACATACTATTAAACCAAATTATACTTTTTAAATTCATTACTATAAAGAACACTTAGTCTTAATTCACACTTGCTCTTCTGTTAACTTTTTTTTTTAATGTATTTTTAGTACAGGGTCTACAGGGTTTTACTACACAGAACAGACTCATAGTGATCCTCCCGTTTTCAACTTCCCAAACGCTGGAATTACAGGCATGCACCACCAAGCCCAGTCTCAATGGCCATCTCAGTGCCCCCAGGGGCGGGGTCGGCACAACATGCTGGCCTCGAACCCCAGTCACTGCATCTGCCTAAGCAGGCACTTTAATCTGCTGAGCTGTCTGGCCAGCCCTTCTTCTGTTAACTTTCTAATGCTGCAACAGAACTGTAAAGCCTTCTCTTACATTGGAAATTAAATGGTCTGCATCAAAGGAATAGGACTTTATTGATCTTTTCCTGAATATTATACTTTTATGATATTATTTTATTTTTCTTCCCTACTTAGTGACAGTGTAAGTTCAAAATTATAGGGGGAAATGCATTACTGCAAAAGTTAATGACAACTATATAATAAGAATATTTTAAAATATTTATAGGAAAGAATTCAGAGCCTAAAGCAGAGCATAGAGTTTATGGCCGACTTGCAGAAAACCCGAAAACAGAAAGATAGAGCAGACACCTCTCAGAGTGGAGAAGATAGCGGCTGCTGGCCCCAAGAGAGGGACGACTCTGGAGACACTGAAGCACAAACCTTCAAAAGTCCCAATAAAGACAATAAAAAGTAAGGAATTTCTGAAATGTCAAGATTAAACTATCCAACTGATAAATGGGGTTGGGCGGGAGGGGGAGTCCTGTTGATTGAGAAAATGACTGGGAGAAATCAGATCTCCGTGTATCATTTGGCTTTCTTGGCATGAAAGTCCCCTTTGATGCTATAATGCCCCTTTTACAGAGCACTGCTATATATGGAATTCTCTGAACAGTTCAGAAAACAGTTTTGAGTGTTTGTTGTTGCTGAAGTTGTTTTAAAGACAATGAGTTATCACTAGACTCATTAAGTTTATTTAAGTAAAACTGTATGTTTAAGAAAAAAGTGTATATTCATTGCTTCATTTCACAGAGGGAAAAAAATTGGACATAAGCACACCAACAGCTTCTGCTTAAATAGATGGGTTGTCGCTGAGCTGTGTGTATTTTCCACTACACATCAGCTGGTAACCGAAGGCAAGCGCCTCCAGTCCTCATGGTAGTGACCAGCTACCCTGCACCTCACTGTCAGCTGGAGGGTTTTATAGAGCTGCATAGCTTCTACAGGTCACCCAGTTCTTCCTAACCTACCAAAAAAGGATACTGTGGCCTGCAGAAGCGAGGGTCAGAGTTAAGAGTTTAAAGTTTCTGCTGTTACATGTACAAATTTCTTTGTACTGTTTCTAAAATTTATGTATTTTAAATACCTGTCTTAAATTGGAGTTTTTAAAATAGAACTTAAAATATATATTACTCCTCCTTCGGAATAACACCCGAAGTAAAATTCTTTTTTATGAAGGTGCCCAGTTAAACATTTAAGATGAGTTAACTCTAAACAAAAAAAGTAAAGTAACTTCTGCATTAGATTTGCCAGTTTCTGCATTGTTAGAACATTTACTAGGTCATTAGGCAACAATGCTTTAAAAACAGTAATATAAATGTCCCCACTTGATGTTTTTGTCTTCTTTTATGCTTAATGTGTGTTTCAGGAAAGACAAAGATGTACTTGAAGATAAGTGGAGAGGCAGCAACTCAGAACGGGAGCTGGAGCAGATTGAACGAGCTGTGCAAGAGTCAGGGGGAAAACTGACCCGACGACCAGCCAACAGCCTGGTGAGCGGCTGCCTGTCCCTCTCCCCTCCCTTCCTTGGAGTTAGTATATACATTTTTCCTGTGCTTTTAGTCCATATCTGCTGCAGATCTTTTTGTCAAAGAAGGCTCAAGAAGAAAAATTAAGGGCCGGGGATAGTGCAGCAGCATGAGTGCCTGCCTGGCAAGTGCAAGGTCTGAGTTCAGTCTCTGGCACTCAAAAAAAAAGAAAAAATAGTATATTTGTTTATGAAGTATATCGTGACTCTTAATCCTCTTTTACTAAGGGGTTTTATTTTGAGCAAAGTTAATGGGTTCTAAAATCGGAAAGTAAATCACATGCTTTCATTTTATAAGAAAACATTTATGTTCTGGCTTTCAAAATCATACTGGTTATTTTTGGAGGGGTTTTGTTTTTTTTTTTGTATTTAGTGCAGGATTTACAGGGTTTCACTACACAGATCAGACTTGTTGTGATTCTCCTGTTTTCAACTTCCCAAGCACTGGGATTACAGGTGTGCTACCATGCCCAGTCTCTATCAGCGGCCCATTGCGCCCTTGGGGGCGGGGCTGGCACAGCAGGCCCAAACCTCCCCTGAGCTATGTGGCTTGCCCCAAAAATCATACTGTTGAGCATACTGGTTTTTAATCTAAGTCAGTTTATATATGACTCTGGGGAAGCCATTCCCAGGTCACAGTGTCTTCCTTTTTTGATAAAACCAGGTGACCTGAAGGACCTATATACTTCTTTAAAATTCCAGGCTTTCCTTACCCTCTTTTTTTTTTTTTTTTTTTTGTGGTCCTTACCCTCTACTTCTCTGGCACCTGTATACACAGATGACAGTTGTGAAAGGCAGTATTTGAGAATGAGCCTGTACTCAGCCTACACTGTTAGACTGATGAAAGATTTCTAGTGCTACATGAATATGTGAAATGTGTGAAACCTTTTTTCCATTTGACTATTTCGGTTCATTGCAGTGCGAATTTGAAAGAAGAAAACCAGATGGAACAACAACACTGGGACTTCTCCATCCTGTGGATCCCATCATAGGAGGTAGGATCACAGTGCAAGGCTGGACATGAACTTGATGATATTTCATAAGAAGTATGATTAACATTTTTAAAGCAATAAGCCAACTGTCATTCACAAAGGGCTAGGCACCATGTATTTTTTTAAAATTATTATTAATGTACTTGGTTGTTACACGGTGTCACTACGCAGGTTGGATTTGTGGTGATCCCCCCGTTTTTAGCCTCCCCAGCACTAGGATTACAGGCGTACTCCACTATACCTGGACTTGGGCTGGCTCAGCCTGCCTTAGGGGCGGGGCTGGCGCAGCACATGGTTAAGATCGAACCCCAGTCCCTGAGCTTGTCTAAGCAGGCACTTTAGTCTACTGAGCTGTGCTCCCAGCCCTAAATTTTTTATTGAATGTCCTTTTTTTTTCTGTCATGACAGATAATTGGAGGTACAGGAATAAGTAATGACAAAAAATGTATACATTTAAGAACTAGCCTCCAGTATTTATTATTTGCTATAGGCAAGACACTCATAGGAGTCATAGGTAAAATGAGGCACATGGTAGAGAGCAAAACAGAAAGATAAGTCCTTTCATCTTATTTTCTATGTGGTAAGAGAAGGACAATAAACAATTGAGATGTCTGTCATAAATAAATACTTGTTTGTCATGAGTAAGTACTACAGAGGAATAGATCATCTATGATTGGATACAAGAAACAGTTTTACTACCTAGTGTTTTGGGGTCAGGGAGGGCTTCCTTCGGAGGCGATGTTTGACTTGAGCTCACAAGTAGGTAACAGGCAAGAAAATAACAGAGGGATGTGCAAGTGAAAATATCTTGGAAGCAGGAAGGAACTTGATGCATTTGAAGACTAAAAAGGCTAACCTGCTAATGTTCTCTGAATATAATAGAAGGGGAACCAGTGCTACGCTTTGAAAATAAAATTCCTCCTGAAGTATTAGGGATTAAACCCAGAGCTTTCGCACTGAGCTGTATTTCCTGCACTCTCCCCCATTTATTCTTTTGAGACAGTGTCTTGCCGTGTTGCCCTGGCTGGGCTTGCACTTGCTGTCCTGTCTTCATCTCCCAGAGCATTGGGATTATAAGCATACGCTACCATGCCCAGCTACTTTTATTTTCATGTGATCTTTTCATAGTAGAAACCACTAGGTTAAGAACATTGCTCTTCTTAGTATAGCTGTAGTGAAAATTTGGCAATGGGGGAGGTACAACAAACTTGATTTGGATAATCCCAAGATGCACCCATTTCTTTGAAACCAGTGTCTAGGCTCTGCTCTTGGTCTGGTTTCCAGGCCCTTGTGGGCATAATCAGATGTGGCCAAAGCAGATTTGACTCTTCCCTCACAGGGTAGCTCCCCCAGCAGGCCACTGTGCTGGTTGAAGGTGGAAGGTGCCTGTGTTCATCACCCCCATTTCACCTTCCTGGCAGAGGAACTAATACTTAAGGAAAATGAACTATAGATGACTCACCCAGAAGGAGAGATCTGATTTAGATGTTTAAAGTTTTTCCTGGTGTTTTCATCACATGCATCACCTGTAGTAGTATCCTTTGTGGCAGGAGATGCTATAAAGACAAAGACTTTGGGAGAGAAAAATACCACTCTTTGTGTTGCATACTCTTGGAGACCACATTTCTCCTGATACCATCCTTTTCCATTCTTTTAGGTGTGCCTACTTCATGATTTCTGCTTATATCACATATTCCCAGCTTCTGTCAGTTGAGTTCCTGTTTACCGAGATCACATTTCTAACGGCTATTCCTCACTGCAGTAAAAGAATACCTTCCATAGGATATTTTTCCTTTACTTTTTCTTTCTCAGTAAGTTGCCAGTTTAAGCTGATCTTCCTGCTTCCTTGTAGACATGCCATCACCATGTCCAGCTTAAAAATCTTTGTGTGAAATCTAACACAATTACATAAAGAATTCTAGGAGGTAGTAGTATAATGAAAAGGTCCAGGTTTTTGGTCTTGGATACTTTCCTACCTTTCTAAGCTCAGTGTTTTCTTATCTTAAAAATGGAGAGAGTAAGGGCTACCCAGCCTCCTATGGGGATATGTAGATAACATGAAGTAATACACATAAAAGCACTCAGCAGAATAGTCTGTGAATCCTTTCCACACATGTGTCTTACTGTGCTCAGTTTTATGTCTTAGAACCAGGCTACTGTCCTGTGAGACTAGGGATGACAACTGGAAGACTTCAGTCTGGAGTGAATACCTTGCAGGGATTTAAAGAAGATAAAAGGAACAAAGTAACCCCAGGTGAGGCTCCTGCATAGTTACAGTATTTTTTTCTCTATTTCAGGTAGTTAAGGAAAAGAATCATAATTACCATTCATTGCTTAATGCAGTAGCTCTCATGGTGGTATTTTTATAATATGAATTAGCTATTTTACTACCTTCAAAAGAAATAAATCATATTAGTATTCAAGATGAGTTTTTTGTTTGCTCTGCCCTTTTGTGAGAAATAATTCATTTAAGTTGCAACTCCACCAATGGAGAAGGCTGTGTCTGTGGATTCCATATCATCAATTTAACCAAGACAGATTAGAAATATACAAGAATGAAAAATACATCTGTACTGAGCACGTATAGATCTTTTTCTTTCTCATTACTCCTAAACAGTACAGTTAGGTATTACATGTAATCTAGAGATGACTTACTCTAAAGAGTGTGGAAGATATGTATAGATTCAGTGCAAGTACTGTGCCATTTATGTGACTGGAGCATCCTTGGAGTTTTCTGTCAGTGGGTAGGGTTCTGAAACTAATCCTGAGGATACAGAGGGATAGTTGTATCTGTTTGGGAGAAAATAATCCGTTTTAGGTTGAACTATCAGCCTGTGAAGCAGTAAAGTTAGAAGAGCATAATTTTTAATAAAGCGAAGAAATAGATTCACATAAAAACTAAAGAATAGTATTTAATTTTTTCAACAGTGTTATACTTGAATTATGGGCCTTACAGTTCTTACGCTCCACATTATGACTCCACTTTTGCAAACATCAGCAAGGATGATTCTGATTTAATCTATTCCACCTATGGGGAAGACTCTGACCTTCCAAGTGATTTCAGGTGAGTCATTAGTTATTATTCTGAGCATAATGATTTCTAAAATACTAGTGTACAAGAGGGATTTGTGTGTAAACTTACAAACTTACCCAATGGTAGGAAATGTGTCTAATTGTCTTAACTGACAGTAGTAGACCCATAGGTACCATCCTTTAATGGAAACAAAGTATTCTAAAGAAAATATGTCTCCTTGGCATTGTTCTGCAATATTGTCTCACTGAAATAGGTTTTTAAATTGCAGTACTTCAACTGATACTAAAGCTGAGGAGCTTTTTACTTCAAAGAGTTAGGTGCCATGTGCTCTGCTACACTGTAACATTTTTTCCCTTATAAGTATGTGGTGTTTTATTATTACAGGCAAGGGTCCCTGAGTTAGAAATTGGTTTCAGTGGTTTCAGATTAAGCTGTCTATATTCAGACTTCACCAGCTTGAACAGATGCTTTCTGGAGTAGCCTATGATTTCCACAAGTAGCCATTACTGTGTGTCAGGTGTTCTTCTAGATGATGGAGGTCTCACAGGGAGAGTAAAGACAGAGACTTATCCTCTCCTGTTAGATACTCACAGTGCTTTAGAGGAAGGTAAAGCAACAAAAGAAGACAGTGTTGAAGTCAGAAGTCTTTGCCAGGACCAAGAAAGTCGAGTAAAAACTGAGTAAGATAAGGAAACAGCAATACTGCAAAAGGAAGAGTATGCCAGCCCCTGAAATAGCTGTGCTGAGACTGGAGGAGAGGGCCTGCCGACCTGCTCAAGGACCAGCAGAGCAGTAAGGAACAGAAGGAGTGAAGGGGAAAGTGATGGGCAAGGTACTAAGTTGGAGTGGATCTTTGTAAGGACTTGGAGTTTTATTCTGAGTGAGGAGACTACTGGTGTGAGTGAAATAGTGACCCATCCTGGCTTATTGTTGTAAAAGGGGACTCTAGCTGTTTTGCAGAGAAAATAGGCAACAGGGATAGACAGTAGGCAGCAAGGACAGAAGTTGAGTGTGGTATCATAATCCAGATGAGAAATGGACCAGGGGGTAACTATTGAGGTACTGAGAGAAGGAATAATTAGACTTTTTTTTATTAATTAAAGGGGGAAGGAGTATCAAATGATTCAAGATTTTCAGACAGTAAGGACATGGTTGCCATTTATGGAAAAGGGGAAAGTTTTAGAATATACCTCTTTGGGAAACAATCTAGGATTTCAATTTTGAGTAGTTGAGGCCTGAGGTGCTTATTAGACATCTAGGTTAAGCTGTGACCTTAAGGCTTATTATGTTTGTATTGACCCAGAGGAGAACAAGACCCATCACTGAGACGAACAAGCCCAAGGGCTGAGCCCTGAGCTCCATCATTGAGGTCTTGTTTTTCTTTGGAGTTCCTTCAAGAACATTTCTTTTTCACTGTGCTTTTGGTATTATTTAGTTCTCTGATGACCATAAATTTATCACTATTAAATATGTAAATATAGTTTTGCTTCTAGACAGAATTTTACATCATGGTGTATAAATCAAAGGCATCTAATGGAAACAGTTGGCTATGATTAGAAGGACTAAGCCAATGGGGGTGATTTATATGAAAGTAACTTTCCCAACTCTCTCTTTCAGTGTCCATGAGTTTTTGGCAACATGCCAAGATTATCCATATGTTATGGCAGATAGTTTACTGGATGTTTTAACAAAAGGAGGGCATTCTAGGACCCTACAAGAGTTGGAGACGGTAAGAATGCTGTCAAAGAAAGTTTATTACTGGCTGTGAATCATTAGTCATTCAATGTTATGAAACCAGGGATTAACCAGGGTGACAGCTGAGCTCCATTCCCCTGAAGTAACTGCTCAGCCTAGCCCGGGTGGAGGCCAAGAGTGGAGAACAATGGGAGGAAAGGAGGACCTTGGCTGCCAGGGTCTTTTAGGGCCAGAACATTGCCATCATCTCTAATCTTGGGACAAATGTACAATTCAGAAATGGGCTTATATTGTGAAGTCAGCGCAGGTTTTGTTCCCTAACAAAATGAGATACCTTGCTTACTGGTTTGAAAGTAAATTGGCTAAAATGATGGAGAATGCCCTGTTCCTTGTTGTGTGTTAATAACAATGATAGAAACCTCAGGTTATGGGGCTGGAGAGATGGCTCAGTGGTCTAAAGCACCTACTTAGAACAAGCTTAGCAAAGCATCAGGGACCGTGGTTCAATCCCCCAGCACCATATGCCAGCCAGCCCTGCCCCCTGGTGGGCTGAGCTGGTCTCTCTCTCTCTCTCTCTCTCTCTCTCTCTCTCTCTCAAATAAATAAATAAATAAATAAATAAAAAAGCTTTAAAAAAAAAAAAAAAAGAAACCTCAGGTTAGAAAGTAAAAAGCTTCCTTATTGCAGTCTTCTAGGAACATTTGTAAATCTTCAGCAGTTCATAATCTAAAATAATTCAGAGTGTCAGCTCAAAGATTAGAGCTAGAAAATTTTTCCACTGATACAGGGATCTCCCGAGGACTCTTGTTAACGTAGTTGGGGGACCTCGTAAGTAGTTCATGGAAGGTTTTTCGTTGGGCGGGGGGGTGGGGGGGTGTTTGTTATGTGGTGCTGGAAATTGAACCAGGCCCCTCATACAGACAGCAAATGCTGTGCCGTGAGGTACATTCCCACTCCACAAGCTGTAGCTCCATGGTGGCTATCACTGCCCTGCCTTAACCTGAACCACAAAAGTACCTGGAGCCCCTTGACAGCAAAACGGGTCAATGCCTGAAGTTCAGTGATAACTGCTACAAGATCGTAGCACGTGGCCTACTTTCTTCTTTCCACCTAAAAGTACCAGCTTTACATAAATTCAGAAGTATTTTTACTATACCCCATCAATGTATCTGAATTAGTATTTTACTAAAATTGAATAGCTTTTGTAAATCCATTGATATAATTTAAAATGTAATATTTCTGCCCTTTGACCCAGCAGTTCTTCTTATGATTTATCCTAGGAAATATAAGATTTGTATATAAGGATACATTGTTTAATTGTTCATAATTATTGGAAAAAATAAAACATTTTCGATTGATGTCCATTATTGGTGTGTTTTTCTCTAATGGATAGGATTATGGAAGAAAGTCCATTCTCTGTAGGACTTACTTCCATATTTTATAGTAATTTTCTTCTGAGAACAGGGCTACTTCCTTTTTTTTTTTTTTTTTGGTACTGGGGATTGAACTCAGGACCTTGCACTTGCCAGGCAGGCACTTAAGTGGCTGAGCTATCACTCCAGCCCAGCTTCTTCCTATCTTGTCAGAAACATAACCTGTTGTTGAAAATAGCCTCCATTTATTTAGGTATTCATGTGTTGTTTATCAAATACCTTCTTCAACATGTATAGCTTTTGATTAGGTACAGGTCTCAGCATTACAGCTAAGTGCTCCAACTCATAAAACTGTAATGTTTATTTTTAATTAAAAAGTTATAGTCTAGCCAGGCATGGTGGTACATGTCTGCAATCTACTCAAGAGGCTAAGGCAGGAGGACTGCGTTGACTTTGAGGCCAGCCTGAGTTATGTAGTGACACCCTGTATCAAAAAACCAATAATCATTTTTAAAAAATCACTATATGGATAGATGGATATAGTTATATTCCATTAGTACATGTTCTTATGTTATTCTATTTTAAAATTTGACAGTTTTCCATTTTAATATTTGCTTTTTCATAAATGTTTTCATAAAAAATTGCTTTCTTTTAGCAGTTATCACCTGAAGATGAAGGCCAGACCAGGACACTTGACACAACAAAAGAAATGGAGGTGATTATATTTCATCCTTTACAAGAAATAAGTGAGGAATTAAGCTAAAAGACTTAAACAGTAAAACTTCATTATAAAATAAAAATACTCATTCAGGGTCATTTATCACAAATGAAGTTATTTTTGTCAGTGCGCAGCTTAGTACCTCACATAGTAGCAAGCATGCTAAAGAGTTAGCCAGAGCCACCTGCTGTGCACCACCAGCCACAGGCCATGGCACCCAGGATGGATGGCTCTGTGGGTGGGGTTATAGGGAAAAGATAGAGCAAGCAGGGCCTCACACTTGAGTGGATAATGACACGGCCATCTGTGAGCAGGGTGCAGATGGGGCCATCTTAGCAGAGCCCAACAGGCATAATGCTGTACATGTATTCCCAGTTACATGGGGGGCTGAGGAAGGATAACAAGTTCAGGGCCAGTCTACACAACTTACAGAGAACCTATCTCACAGTAAAAATGAGTGAGTATGTAGCTCAGTGGTAAAGCATTTGCCTAGCATTTGTGAGGCCCTGAGTTCAGTCTTCAGTAAGTTACAAATGACTTCTTTTCCAGAATTGTTCACAAGTTGGATTTGTTCTTAAGCCAACAGAGTGAGTCTAACCCAGTGCAAGTTCATAACTTGAAGTTTCCTAAGCTGGGGATTTACTGTACAACATTCAAAAGAAGTAGGTGACCCGAGGGTTTTTGGGTGGAGTTCAGGCAATGTGTGGGTATGCATAAGGCCCAGATGGTGGAGAATCTTATATGCAGTGCTGGGAATTGAGAATTTACCTGGAAGATGGGACCCTGTGACAAAACTTGGAAGGAGAAGACCAGTGAAGAGTTTCAGGGCTTGTCAAAGCAGAGAAAAAAACCAAAACAATGACTAGCATACAAATTCAAAGGAAGAAAGGATTAGGCAAATACAGTAGAATAAAAATTGATGTGGCTTGATGCATGAGGAAGGGAATAGTATTAGCTCATATGGGAAGTACAGGAAAAACAGTACACCTTTGTCAAGGAAAGAAGTCACATGCCACTTCAGATATGGTGAATGTAACTTAGGACATTGCTGGAGGAGTGGAGCTGGAAATCGTTGATGTAGAAATAGGATTTTATTCCATTTTTTTTAGTGAAAATATGGGGAACCATGGAGAAGATCAGTAGTTGAGGTAGGAAACCTGTGGAAGAATACTGAGGAGGGAAGTTACTTTCATGCACATGCTGCAGAAGCCCAGTAAGAGAGTTCAAATGCCACTTGTAACCTTGATCAGGGTGATCTCAGTAAAAGGGTAAGAGCAGAGGGTAACATGAGTTAAGTGGAGAAAAACTGGACTGAAGGACGAATATAGACCCTTTAACTTAGGGGAAAGAAGACTAGAGATTTGAGATAAAGATGTAGATGTATTTACACAGTCATGTTTTCAGGAAAAGAGGAGACATGCAAGGCTATGTGCTTATGAGCAGGTAAGAGTAAAAGGAATCTTGAGAATGGGAAAGGAAGTTAGATAAGAAATGAAGAGGGTCCAGCTGAAAAGGCAAACCATGACATGTACTGTGCCAAGTTACAGTTTTCCTACATTGCCCACTTTGAGCACACACAGGCAGAAACTTCAGGTATCTGGATTAATCTTGGACTGCAACATCAAATACAAATGGAACCACTAACTTTTGGTTATTATGTGAGTTGATGAATCCCCCAAAAGCAGCATTAAGGCTATGGAAACTCTGAGTCTTTGAATTACAAAAATACAACTCTGTCTTTCTTAAGATCTTGTTTCTCACAGGCAATACTGACAGCCTTCTTTTGAGGCCTCAAGACTCAAGAAACATCTAGACTATTAAATATACGCTATCGAAATGCAAGTGTGCAGACTGAGTGGGTAAAAGACTTGTCTTTGAGTCTTAGAAATACAAGGCATTGTCATATCATAGTACTTCAAAGTTGAGGCAGTGATGAGGCTCTTTATCTTTAGGATTTTTGACATATGAAACAAGTGATGCAAATTTGTAAGACATCATTACATTACTGAGCAGTGTGAGTTTATGACACTTCTTTTGCCACAGTTTGGGAATAGCACGTTAAAGGATTTTGTGGGAAGACATTTTGGGTAGTCATTAAAATCATGCCTCCAAAGTAAATAGGTGGAATGGCTTTGCTTCTAAGCAAACACAAGTCATCTTACTGATTTTTAGTGTAGCACTCGCATGGCTTAGTGAGCTCAGATAATTGCTTTTTTTTTTTTTTTTTTAACTCAGATTACAGAAGTGGAACCCTCAGGGCATTTGGACTCCAGCACTCAGGACAGGCTTACAGCACTGAAAGCAGTAACAAATTTTGGTGCTCCAATTGAAGTTTTTGACTCTGAAGGTGAGTGGCTCAGACATGTTGCTGGAGACACTGTAATACAAGTAGTCAAGATAATGCCACAGATTGTCCTAACCGTGCGCTACCGAAACATCTTGGCCAACCAAGTAAAATGAATGGTAGAAAGCCAGGTTTGGTGGCATATGCCTATAATCCCAGCGCTTGGGAAGTTGAGGCAGGAAGGTTTGTGCAAGTTCAAGCCCAGCCTGGGCTACATTAATGAGTTCGGGACCAGCCTACACTACATAGCAAGGCTCTTGTCTCAAAAACAAACAACAGCAGAGCATGGCTGTGGTGGTGGTGGTTTTATTGGAGGAGCTTTACTCCTTTGAGGGGTGTGCTCACCCACAGTGAAGCCCTAGAGCCTAGGATTCAGTTGACCGTACAAGACCATGTGCCAGTACATCTGTGTTCTCATTAGTGTGTCCTCACCATACAGAGGCTGAAGTGTTCCAGAGGAAACTTGATGAGACCACAAGATTGCTCAGGGAGCTCCAGGAAGCGCAGAACGAGCGGCTGAGCACCAGACCACCTCCCAATATGATCTGCCTCTTGGGTCCATCATACAGAGAAATGCACCTTGGTACGTTGTGCCTCCAGGAAGAAAAGAATCTGTTCTCTTACTGAGGGCATGCTTAAAGCAAAAACTTCTGAGTAATGACACCACCGTAAAGTAATGCTTAAAAGAGCACTGTGGACAGTGTACCTTTTTACATTTATACCCTTATTACTTTGCATTTTAAAATTATGTAAAGGAACCACTTTTCAGGATCTGGATTTTTTTTTTCCCCTAGCTGAACAAGTGACCAATAATCTTAAAGAACTTGCACAGCAAGTCACTCCAGGTGATATCGTAAGCATGTATGGAATACGGAAAGCAATGGGGATTTCCATTCCTTCCCCCACCGTGGAAAACCACTTCGTAGATCTAACGGAAGGTGCGTCCCTGTTTTTCTGGTAGAATGGGGCGTGGGTGGGGGCTGCAGTCCTTTCCCTTCAGATAACATTTAAGAAGTTTGATTGGTCTCTGAGTTTTTAAGGTGTAAAACTACTTTTTCTGTCTCATCTAAAGAATTAATAAAAATCTCACATATTTGCCAAAAAAATTCTGATGACCTAATACAATTTCTTTTTAACATTGAATGATACAGAAGACCTATCTCTTCTGAATGCTGGCTTCATCTTCACTTCCCATTTTTTATTAAAATGAATAAAAACAGTGAAGTTCTCTCTTTCAGATTTAGCGGAACCTAAGAAGACTGACGTTACTGAGGGTGGATCTGCTGAGAGCTGAAGATAACTGGTATTGGGTTATCTATATTATGTACATATTTTTTTCATTCTGAACTTGAAAGTGCTTTTCAAAAGATATTAACTATTTGTAAATTGTGTTTTTAATTAAACTTTGGAATAATCAGCTTTAATGTTCCAGAGATTGGACTTCTATTAAATAATAAAGTTGAACCTGGAACTCTTGGAAGAGTATTGTGATACCAACTAAGTTGCCCCTTGAGCTTTCTGCAGGCTGTGTCCAAGGATAATGTGACTAAGAGACAACCTCAAGGCTCGCAAGATAGCTCAGCAGAGTAAAGCGCCTGCTTAAGCAAGTGCAGGGACCAAGGTTCAGTCACCAGCACCACATGCTGCACAAGCCCCACCCTTAGGGCGGGCTGAGCTGGCCGCAGAGTCTGGGCGTGGCAGCGCATGCTTGTAGTCCCAGCGCTGGGGAGGCTGAAAGGATCACTGAGTCTGAACTGCTTCGTAAGATCCTGTAACAATCAAATGCATTTTTTAAAAAAAGAGACAACCTTAAAACGTAAAATAGACTCCTTCGGTATCATCCCCTAAAAGAAGAAAATCCTGTTATTGAAATTCCTCATTTTTCACATTTGTCACACTCCTCATTAAAGAAATTATAACTAATTCCTAACTTTCCAGAAATCATCTTGATAGTTTATCCCAAAAGTGATTCAAATCAAGAAGAAATCGAGCTTGGAGCTGTTGCCAGCCTGGGCAGCATTCTTCAGCATAGTGCTGATGCGGTTTAATGTTTCCCCAGTAGCAGGATAACTAAGCAGCTTTTTAAAAGTAGCCTCTTTCAGTGAGATTTTCCGTCATTATACAATGGAAACAAATCTAAAATTTTAGGATTTACCAGTATAATTCTGCTTTCTACCTAATAGAATCAGTGTCCCCTGTGCATAGTAATTAGGTCCCTCCCCACATCTAGTGACTAAACTGAGATGAATGGTGATTTTTTCTGAATCTAGTTCCAGGCATAATCTGTTTAAAATAAAAAAGCAATATTGGACTGGGGACATAGTTTGGTGGTAGAGTGCTTGCTTCGTATGTATGAGGTCCTAGATTCTATCCCCAATACCAGAAGAAGGTAAATCAAGGGGAAAAAAAGCCAAAATTTTTATACCCTAATTGTGTGAGCAAATTGATGCCCTATACAGTGCCCTTCTGTAAAACACCCAGAGAGGAAACCCTTTTTTTTTTTTTCTTTAATTTGAAAATGGAACAAGAACAAGTAAGAAAAAGAAAACTGATTCTCTTAAACTTAAAATGTTAACTAATCATTTTAAAACCTACTTAGAATATTCTAACAAAGCCAATTCAGTACGTTTTTATCAATTCTTTAGAGTGTAATGTCTTAAAATACCAATTTAGGCAACACTAGACGCAGGTAAGCTCCCAAAGATAACCAAATTTAAATTCAGAATACCTTAGGACATTTGGGTTTTCCAGATTGATAATTTAATGTTTCAAAGGCAGCCAGACACTGGTAGTTTATAAAAGTAGAACAAAATATCTGGAACAGTGTGACAGATCTATAAATAATCTTACACAAAACAAACCCTTATCACTCGCATCCATGATCTCAAAGCGTATTTCTGTCCACCGATGTGTTATACACACAAGATAATAAACAGTAAGGATCAGCTTTTTTATTGGGAAATTCCTTAATAAACCAAAAAGACTTCTGGTGTTATTTTCAATCTTAGGTAAAAATGTTAAGCTGGTCTCAATGACAGGGTCATTGTTGGAAAACATTTGTTCCTGCCAAAACAAAAATGACACTTGTAAAGAAATTACTTAGTAGAGCCGGGTGTGGTGGCTCATACTTGTAATCCCAGCACTCAGGAGGCTGAGGCAGGAGAATCTTTGTGAGTTTGACACCAGCCTGGGCTACAAAGTGAGTTCAAGGCCAGCCTGAACTGCATAGTGAGACCCTGTCTCAAAAAAAGACACATTACTTGGTAATTGAAAAAAAAACCTGCCAGTGATTCTTATAGTCAGTTATACTCTATGATTTGAACATTGGAAACTGAAAACATATAAACTATTATTTTTTGAGCACAGTGCTTGAATTGAAAATAAGATACATGAATTTATTTTTTAAACTCCCCACTGGGATTTCCGTTCCCAAAGGAAGTAATTTGAATGTTGCAAGAGTAAAAACACAGAACTCAGAGAAGCCCATGTCCTGATACATGTCTACCTTGTCAGCAGCAGGACCCTCCCACCCAGGAGAGTCCAGCTGGGCGACATTGGCCACTGTTAGATTTTGAGAGCACAGATTCAGTATGGCACTGCCCTCTAGTCAGCTCTTTATCTGAAAAAGCAGAGTATGAAAAGGCAGTTTAGGCAAGGCTTCTATCCCTTGCTGGCATTTTTGCTATAGAACTTCTTTACAGAGCAATTTTTGGGGGTTTGTGTTTATGTTTGTTTGTTTGTTTGTTTGTTTTTTTAAAGAAAAACATATTAAAGCAAGATAATAGAGTGAAAATGGTTAATACATTGTGTATTGTTATTTTTAAATCAGTTACTCAGTACAAGGTGTCGGTGTTCAAAACAAGTTTTTGAATGTACATTCCAGTTAAATGTGACACGTTAGAGCTGCCACTAGCCCACCCAGCACCATTTTGCAGATTAGAATCGGTCTCCCTTCCTCAGGCTGACAGAACCAACCCAAGCAACAGGCCCGGCCTGCACATTCCTGTGCCTCTCTGCACAGGGTGGCAGTTCATCACAGCCCTGTGTAATCAGTCTTTGGAAGGCTGCTGCAAGGTTTTCTGTGCAGCTTCAGGGAGCTTATGGCTGGCTGCTAGCTACGAATCCCTGCAATGTAGTGACGTTCAGTGGTTAGCCCAGAGAAGCTTTGGCAGCAGTGAAGTCAGTTCAGAAAAGGAACAGGCAGTTGGGGTATTTTTCTCCTTGTGAGACAGTAACACTGACTCCTAGCTCCCTGTGGAGCTCAAGCATGGCAAGACGCCATCTCAAAGCTGGCTTTTTACCTTGACTCATTTGAGCTCAGAACAAGAACATCTCAGCATCTGTCAGGAGCTGGCTTCCCGGGCAGGGGAACCTTGACACATCTCATGCTGAGCAGATCCTTCTAGTTTTGAAGCTCTCCAGAGTCAGCTATGTGAAAACTAAAGAAAAGGAAAGATGTAGTGCAGGTTGTCCAGGATCTCTCCATGTGGCCTCTGTTCCTTCCCACTGAAATACGTGGGATAGACTGCAGGGGGAGCTTGGAAGTGCAGGCATCAGGGCAGAGCTAAAAGGTGGTGCCTTGCTCCAAAGTCCCGCTCACTGAACATGGTCCTGGGAGGCTTCCCTCGGAGCTCCTGCCCCCGAGGCAAGGCTGCACTGCTCCTTGCCTCTTACTGTGAGCCCGTTCCTCAGAACTCTAGTGCACAGCTGGCTGGTTGCATCAACTGACACTGGACTGTAGTCCTGTTTACATGTACACTGGAGATGTTTATCCACCGTCTAAGGTGTCATTAATAAGGGTAAAACCCCCACCAAGAATGTCCCCTTTGAAAACACATGTCAGAGATGACAAGAAGTAACAAGTGTCCATTATGTGAGGTTTTTTCTCTGGTAGGAGAAGCCTTTTATAAAACATCCTTTCTAGCATCCACACCTGTGTGAGAATTAACATACTCAGGGTTTGTCCTGCTAAGAAGGGGTCCTCCAACCATCCCAGGCCAGAGAACTTGGCTTAGTCCTCCTTTGTCCTAGAAAAGGAGTCTCCCTTGTGCATGCTCACAGGCTGCTCAGGTGGACATCTGTCTTGGGCAGGCTCTAAGGTCACTGCCAGTGCAGCTGGCCTCACATCCCAGTGGTCACCTTTCAGCTGACCTGGAAATCGTTGCAGTGACAGCACAGATGTTCTGGCTGTACCTTGTGCTATAGCTTAGTGGTTGCTCCAAGCAGGATCTGGTGTTGAGATCACAGAATCTTCTGGTGCAGATTCCTAGAAGCCACGCACAGCCATCTGCCGGACGGTGATGATGGCCAGAACCTTCCACCACCTTGACCCCTGGCTCAGGCTGGCTTCCTAACCTGCTCCGGGGAGAAGCCGGCTTCCCACCATGTTCTGACTCCTCCAGAAGCCTTCAATTCAGCCCCAGCCCCTGAAACTTGGCAGTGTCTGTGCACACAAAGTAGGTCCGAAGCTCGCCTTTGCCTTTGACATTGATCAGCCCCCGGCACTCACAGGAGTACCCCAGGCCCTGGAGAATGGTGCACGTCTCTTCAGTAACCTGAGCAGGGGAGGAAGTGGGAAGAAAAGTGCTCTGTTAGGGACAGGTAGCAGGCGGCCAGTAAGCAGCATACGTGTGTGACACACCTGAGTGCTGGCAGACCCAGCTCTTAGGCCCAGGACCTCTCACCTGGGAAGGTTCTTTCCCCTCAGCCACATATTGCACAATGGGTTTTTACCTGGATTTTCCCAAGTTCTCCAGTGCTCTCCATGCGGCTGGCAACATTAACTGTGTTCCCCCAGATGTCATACTGAGGCTTCCGCGCCCCAATCACTCCAGCAATGACAGGCCCATGGTTTATGCCTAAACATGATGTTCACAGTTGGCATATCCCAGAGGATAGCCACAGGTCAGAGTACGCCCCACAACCACAGAAAGCAGCAAGAAAACACCACTAAAAGGTTGGGCTGGGGCTGTGTCCCTCTCATGCAGCTGGAGATGGTCCCGCGGGGAAGGCACGCCTTGGCCATGCTAGTTCCAACGCCCAGGAAATTAGGGCTTGTTAGTCTCTTCCAGCCGCCCTTTGAATAGGTGGGCTTTAACCACTAACCCACCGAGCTAACAGTGACCAGGTAGGCTTAATTCTGCCTTGCCGTGAATGTTTTTGTTTTTCCTTTTGCGGGACGAGGAATTGAACTCAGGACCCTGCGCTTGCCAGGCAAGCGCTTATTCTACTGAGCTATCTCCCCAGCCCCACCACGAATGTATTTTAAGGTAACATACTTGTGACTTGGGTACTCAGTTTGCTATAGTGATACATTCTTACCAAAATTTAGATAACTAAGAGCTATATGTAGAGATCAGAATATGCATCATCTGCATTTATCAGATCAGAGAGTTTCTGAAACTTGGTAGGAGATGACCCAGGACACTGGCCAGGCAGACTGGGAGAAGCCAGCCCGGGCTCCCAGCAGCAGGCCCTCACCGACTCGGAGACGGAAGGAGTTGAAGGAATGCCTATTGATGCCATCCAGCTTGCTCATCAGGGCGATGCTGAACTCCACCAAGACGCCGATGTGTGTGTGCTGCCGCTCCAGGTCCTGGGGAGGGTGGGGAGGGCGACACAGGGCATGCAAAGTCCTACCCTGCAGACTCAGGCTGCTAGAGTACCTGGCGTAGCAGGACCTGTGGGGTGGGCTTCGTGGACTGTCACCCTTCTCCACAAAGGCTCCCGCGCCCCACCTCCAGAAGGCTGCAGTCTGAGCCGTAGGCATGCCCTACCTCCTCTACAGGATGGGTACAGGAGGCTCCCTTAAGTGGGAAGAGGCCAGTCTGGAAGCTCCCTGTTGCACTTCCCTCCCTGGCTGGCGCCCTGTACCTGGGTCTCGTGTCCCGAGGGGACGCTGAGTCCTGCAGCTGCCATGTAGGTGCTCCCGATGGTCTTGATCTTCTCTACACCACTGAACTTGGGCTTCAGCAGCAGCTGCAGGGCAGAAAGGAGATGCTGCAGCTAGAGGCACGGAAGGACACGGAAAGGCTCAGAAGGGCGCGGGGCAGCTGTAGGCAGCATGTCTCCTGGGGCCCCTTCCGGGTGGAGCTCATGGCCAAGTGCGGTGCAGACACCTGCCCCTTGTCCTCACCCCTTTGAAGGAGGAAAGGCACAGCTCAGACTCAAGATTCACTGTCTGCAGCAGGGTCCAACCCAAACTGATGTCCTCTGAGATGATAGCACCAGCTTAGCTGGAAATCTGTCCATTTTGTAAGGAGCTGACTAACCTTCAGCTGCCTACTGCAGAGATGTCTGAGTGCTATGTAAACCAGCAGACAGATTTGCTTCTTTTATATTTTGCAGTGTGTGTTCCCCCAAAGGAGCTGCCTCGTTTTGAACCTGAAGCCAGGGCATGCTAAGCACATGCTCCGGCTACCACTGAAGTGCATCCCCGCCTCTGCTCTGCCCTTCCTGGGCAGTGAGAAGCCCAGCGCCCTCTCCCCTCCGGGCTGGCTGGAAGCTGCACCTCATCAAAGTCAGCGATGATCTCATTCAGCAGGCGCAGGCACTCCAGCCCTTCTTTGTTGACATCGCACTCTGTGTAGAACACTTTGAAATCCGGCACTGACGCGAACATGACACAGACACAGTCGTAGGACTGATGGTACCAGTCCTGGAGCAGGGTAAGGGCAAAACAGGACCTTATGCCCCTTGGCCTCTGGAGGGACTGGGGACATTTGTGGTAGTGACCTTCCCAGTGAGCTTTCAAGGGAGCAGAGGGCTGAGCAGTGGCTCCCTACCCACCCAGGCTGGGGCTGGGAAGGCACACGTGGTAGCTGATGGTCAGGACCGTCTGAATCAGCCTGGTGGCACTCCGTGTGTACCCACAGAATCCTATACTGAGCAAGTCACTGCTCACTCTGCTTATCTGGAAATCCTGGCTATGACTCGGAGCCCAGGTTGTTACTACACTGTCTACTGGCGCAGGGCAAGCAGCTTTAACAGCTCTGCACTAATCTGGTGCTTATGGTCCCTAGGTCTCCTACCCCAGTGCTGGGCTGCACCTCGTTTAGCTTGTCACCAATGAAGTGGGCAGCCACGTGGGCCGGCAGCACGTTCTCCAGGAGGAGGCGGTTCACATTCTCCATGGTTTCAAACTCCTCGTGTTCCTTCTTAAACTTCTTCTTCCACAAACAGTCCAAGCGGCAGTAATAGTCAATCTGCAAGCAGACCCATCAGCACCTGTGCCGAGCGTGACACCCACCCAAGGGGCCAGCAGCCCCGGCTGCAATCCTGGGCACCCAACCTGAGCTGGCCGCCACACACCTCCCTGCCCAGGGATCGGAGCTTTTGTGAAAGGACTCTGCCACCCACCACCCACTTTGCACCCATCTTCCCTCGATGAGGGAGAAGAGACCATGAAGCTGGGCCAGGAGCCGCATCCACCTGTCTGGACAGCATAACGAGGGTGACATAGAATAGCACCAGGTAGAAGTTGATCATGATCTTCAGATCCCTTGTCGAACAACAGGAGTCACTGTGGGCACAAAGTGACAATCAGCCCCAGCAGAGGGCAGGTGCACAGGCAAGTGCAAGGACAGAAGATGGACAGAGCTCACTGACAGGACTTCTGCACTCACCCCCAAGGGGCCAGAACCAACAATGAGGGTGTGAAGGCTGGCCAGAGTCCTCATGGGGATGGGACAGGGACTTGGACACTGGCATAAGGACTTGGCAGGGGCAGACCATGAACAGACTTGTGTGTGTCCTTGGTTTCTAGCCTCTTAGTTCAAGGGAGCCCCGCTCCCCCGAACCCCACAGCCCAGCCCTTCTGTGCCTCCAACATCACTTCTGTCAAGAAAGGGATGAGAAACACTGCTACTGCCAAAACTGGCAATCCAAAACATGGCTCAGGGAAGGCTGGGCTGGCTCGAGCCCCCTCCCCCTGGGCTAGCCTAGAGCCTGGTACCCCCCTGTAGGGCCAGGACATCCACTGAGGACCCTGTCAGGGTGGCACACCCACAGTGCTGCATGATTCTGTAAGATGGACACTGCCATCTGCCTCAGGTGTCCAGGCCAAAGGGGACTGCAAGTACCTCCACTTGACAAGATATCAAGACAAAACAGGTGCCATAGCTGGCCACAGAGACATGCTGCAGGATGGGGCCTACCTGAGGGCTGTGTTGGTCTTGGTAAGGTTGCCCAGACAGTTGGTATCATTGAGGGTGCCCAGGCTGGGGCCGCAGCACGCAGAGAGATTGAAGAGCGCCAGATAGGCAACCAGGGCCACTGTCAGCAGCAGGACCTTCAGCTCTAGGCTCATCCGCAGGAAGACAGAGCAGGCAATGAAGCCCAGGATGCAAGTGCAGCTGTAATACTGGGGAGACAGGAACGTTCCTTAGGGGCCAAAGGTCACCCCACCACATCCTGTCACCAGGAGTCTTGTCTTTAGAGCAAAGCAGCTACCACAGGGGGACAACGACCATGGCACCAACACAGCAGGCAAGGGAAGCCGGAGGTCCTGGTGATACACTGTTCAGCAGTTATAAGAGAGAGCTTATGTAGGCAGAAATGCTAATGAACCCGCAAATGTCCTATGAGTCTCATGGAGGAAGGTCCAGGTAGTGGGGTGCACATATCTGAGCAGACCTCTGTCTCCTGACTGCTTCCTGAAGAAGCTCTCTGCCCCGCGTTACTCTTGCTCAGCATCGTACTGTGGCTCTGTGCTGCCCCCGAGGTAGCGACTGCACTCATCTCCCTGGCAGTCCTCAGCCCCCCTGGACCAGCCCTACCTCCAGCTTCATCTCCCACCACCCCTCCATGATAGAGCTCCTGGAAATCCTGCTGAGACTGCGTGCCTCGGCTGCTCACACCAGTCCTTCTCGCCATACCCCTAAAACTCTGTCCTTTAGATTCCTGCTCAAAACTCCCTGACTACTTGCTACACCTGTGGAGTTCAGGGCCCTCACGCTGCTTATCTTAGGGCACTCGGCACAGACCGGGATTTGGTGTCGGCCTGTCACCTCTGAAGCTCATCTATGAACCTCCCTCAACTGAGCCCCTGCTTCCTTGCCCACACCACAGGGCTTAGAGCAAGCAGCCAGACCTGGCCTGGCTTTCCCAGCTCAGCAAGCCAAGACCCTGCCTTCTGCCCTTCCGGGAGACACTGAACTTGCTCCACAACATCCACTGTCTCAGGACCCAGAACCAGTGTTCTTAGCACCAGAGCTGTGCCCACTGTTAGAAGCATCTGGTGAGGATACAGGGCACAGGGCCAGGCTGCAGCTGGGCTGCTGAAGCCTGTTCTGATGCACTCACCGGGAGCAGTTCCCTCAAGGTCCTGTCTGTGCTCGGTGCAGTCTCATTGCCCCCGGGCAGCCCCAAGGCTCGATCAGACATCAGGGGCTACAGTGGGGACAAATCTCATTAGGTTTGGTCTAGGGGATGGGAACCCTATAACCTGCCAGGACAGAGAGATAAGCCCAACCACTGGCACCATGATGCACCAGGCTCAGCTCAGAGCTCTCTCCTTGTGGCTTAGGCAGGGAGGAGATGACCCACATTCCCAGGGGTCCCTTCTCCATTGTGGCCCTGAAGGGTACTGCAGCAGTAGAGAAAGGATCTAGGATAATGCCTAGTGAGGAAACTGAGTCCCAAAGGTCGTGAGACAAGGCCTCTTCAGAGCCACCAAAGAGGAATGTGATGTCAGAATACAGGTGGCTCATGGGTCACTCCTCTCATCCTTGTGAAGTTGGCCAGGTAAGAATCCTGAGTACTTCCAAGTCCTCACATGAAAAGGGTGAGGAGCTCTGAGCCTTCCCTGGGGACCTCACAGGGAGACCCACAGAGCCCTACAGGAGTTAAACCAGATGCAAGGCTGAGGTAATGAGACTCAGAGTTCCCAGGGCCAAAGGCAGGCTCCCCCACCCCGAAAGGGCACCCTGAGCACTGTGTCTCCTCTCCAGAACTAACCAGATTGATGATGGCAATGGTGAGCAGGCTGCCAATGGTCAGCACAGCCAGGGACAGCCTCAGCAAGAGCCGTGTCTCCACCCTCTCTGAGATGGCCCGGAGTGTCCTCTGGCTGGGGCAGCACCTCTGGAGACACAAGTTGAGTTACCCTGAGTGGGCATCAGAAGGAACATGGAACCTGCCCGGGGCGCCTGGGAAGCTGAGCTCCTTGGGAGAAGCAAACCGTCCTACAGGAGAGAGCCAAGAACCCAGCCCCTGCCCAGTGCAGGGCTCAGACCCTGGAGCTCACCACAGGAGCCCAGCCAGCCCCAAAGTAGGGAGGGAGAGGCTGTGGGGCTGAGGACAGCGCTGTGGCTTGGGGACCTCTCCACTCACCATGAACTCCGCGGCAAAGTAGAGGCCTAGCACCAGCCCCAGCAGGCAGGCCACCAGCCCAAAGGACACACCCAGAAGCGTTATCCTAGAGAGGAAGAAAAGACCAAGGTGGCCAGAACCCTCCCCCAGCCCCAGTTGCCAGCGTTCAGTCACTGCACCCTCCCCCAGCCAGGGGCCTCTGAGAACTGTGCTCCAAGTGCCCGGCCAGTAATACACAAGGCCTGCCCAAAACATGCAGTTCAAGGTTGTTACTTCCCGAGCTTATGGGCCAACGATAAGAACTAAGCATTATCATAAGGCTTTGGACTTGGAGCTGGCACATAAAAGTTATATAAAAGTATGTCCTATTTTGCCTTTATTAAGCACACCTTAAACCACAATATTACTCTGTCCTTTGGCCTAATGAGCCTTCTAGAAATCACCAGTCATCAACCTTCACTCCCCTCCCTCTGACCTTGTCCCTGTTATCCCTGATCCCCACCCAGAGCCTAAAACATGAACCTCAGGGACTTCCAATCATTTTCCCACCAGAGTCCACCCTGAAAAGGCTCCCACCCCCAGGGCCAGAGCTGCAAAACTACAATACCTGCAGGCACAGAGGTAACAGGTGACAGAAAGTTAAGACATGAAGCAGGGGAGTGAGAGGGCAAACACATTCCATTACAGATGCGGGCCACAACCTCTGTTCCAGCGACAGATGCCGGGTCTAACGTTACTGAGCCCGTGGGCCTGCCCAGACTCACCTGGGCATCACCAGGATGTGGACGAGCAGGATGCAGAGGAAGACAAGGCCGGCACAGGCAAAGTCGTAGCGGGCCCGGGGGATGGGCGCCAGGCGGTACTGTGGGCAACATGACCGTGAGGGGCTTTCAGCCTCTAGACTCAAGTTCATCACCTTAAAAAAATACTTCACACCCTCCTTGAGCTCCCTATGAAGTCACACTGGGGAACTTCCACTCATCTGCACTTGCAGTTCCCTGTTCAGGTTGAGAAGCAGTGCTTCCCCCGTCCTCCACCTAATCAGGGAGCTGGCTTCATTTCCAAGGTTCCTGAAGAGGGCTTGGCCTGTGAACAGGAGCCAGCTCTGAGGTCCTAGGGCTGTCAGTCAGTCTGACCTCACCCTAAGCCAAGTTACAATGAGGCTGAGGCCGAGTCCCTGACCCAACATGAGACCCAGAGTGATACCAGCCCTGCGAGGGCCCCTGCCACAGGTCAGGTTCGGGGGGTGTCTCAGGCTAGGAGGACCACCTGGCACATCTGCTGGTGACCTCCACAAGGTCACCATGGAGAAGGACTCTTCCCTCTAAAGCTGTTCAGGCCACCCCTGAGGGTAAAGGCAGCTCAGAACCCGAGAGGCACAGGCCAGCTGAGGACTGAGTTACATGAGGACATGTGTGCCACACAGTCACCTGGGATGCAGAACATGTTGCTACAGCAGCCATGCAGGACACTCCAAAGGTCCTGCCAAGGCTGAGGCCAGATGTGGGGTTCTTCTCAATGGGAAGCCCATCACAATGGGGCACCAGGGGCCTCATCCACTGAGATTCCCACCTTTGCTGGAGCAAAAGTCCGAGGCATGAGGCAGATGCCAGAGAAAGCTTGGGTCAGGGCGTGAGGCCAACAGGACAGAGACCCAAGCTGGGGCTGTACTGCCCCCCAACCCCAGCCAGCTGCAAAGTCCCCTCCCCGCTGCCCACCTCCCCTGGCTGCACTGGGACTGATACCCTTGTCCAGGCCTCACCTCACGCTCAAAGCCCTTCTCCAGGAAAATGGGCCCAAAGGCATAGAAGTCATCAGACTTGGAGCAGCAGGGCCTGGAGAGCAGCAGTGTGAGACAGGGACCCAGCGTAGGGGCCCCTCAAGAGGATCCTGGGGGAAGAGGAGGAGCCGCAGGGGCCACCAGGCTGAGGACACGGGTGGGCCTGCTCACGTGGGCCTCACCGGGTGGAGCTGAGCCCCTCGATGGCTGAAAGCATCTCATCGTCATAGGGGTCATCCTCCGACCGCCCCTTGGGGGACGTGCTCCTGGAAACAGACACCCTCCACCTCACCCTTGGCACCTCATCTGCTCCCTCAGAGGAGATGTGGATAGGGTGACATACCCCAGCCCAAGGGCTCCTCTGTTTCTCCCAGGGTTGCACACACCTGAGCCCAGGGCACTCAGACTCTGCCACCAGCCACAGAAGGACCCAAGTAGTGGTGGCCTCTAGAAATGCCCTGTCCCAAGAACTGGCCTGGTCCCAAACTGGTCAGGGGCACCTGCCTGGAGGAGGTGACACAGCAGAACTTGGCCAGGCAGGCACGGCACAGATAGACACAGAGGAGATGTAGTCCACATACCTATCAGGGGTCCGGTGGCGCCTCAGGGGTATGGCCTGGAAGGGAAGAGAGGACAAGATACTTTATTTCCTGGCGCCCTGGCTGGGCAGCCCCTCACAGCCTGCGTTTGCAGCCTAAAGTAGAGCTGGGTCTGGAAACAAGGAGCACAGGGCCATTCCCAGCTGCCTGGAGGCGCTCCAAGTGTCTCTTCTCAGCAAGCCCAGAGGGAGGGAGGGCAGAGTGCATTCTTCTTAGCACCCATACCCAGCCCTAGGGTCCCAGGGACACCTACCTTGGGCCTCCACCCATTGGGGACAGGAGTCTCACTGCTGCTAACGCTCTCACGGTGGTTGAGGTGCGCAAAGGGTCGGGCAGCACCCCAGGACTCAAGGTAGCGGGTCATTCGCACAGAAGCCCGCATCTTCAGGGCAGCATCCCCTTTGGGCTTGGGGAGGTGCTGGCTCGGAGGAGGTAGCTGCTGGCTCTACAGGTAGATGGAGATACCAGTGGGTGCCACCTGTCCCCCTGTCCACCCTCTGACTCCCCACGAAATGTAACCCTGCTAAAGCAGGGCCAGGGCCAGGCTGCGAGGGACCCTGCTCAGTCTATGTTCCTGTGCGGGTCAGTCTATGTTCCTGTGCGGGTCACAGTCTGGTGCCCCACTCCAGAGCCTGCTCTGCCTGTCCCAGGAAGGGCTGGGTTCTGGTCCCCACCTCAGACCTACCCCCAGGCTCTGGCACCAGTGGGCCCAGGGGCCCAAGTACCCACAGCCCCTCCCACAAGGCACTCCAGGAAGGGGGCTCCCAGGGAAGCATCCTGCTCACCCACATGCGACCTGCACCCAGACATACCAGCCAAGGTGCAGCAAAGCAAATTCCCAGAGTTCTGCTCACAGGGCCCCCAAACCGTATGCCTGCCTGTGGCGCAGCACCATGCCAAGGACTCTGGCTTACCCAGGCCATGAGGGGCTACCCTGCCTCCTCCCCTAGTGCTACTGGGCCCAAACTCCCCACTGAAAGGGCACCCTGGGCTTCCCCAGGCAAGGCTGGGAAAGGGGGAAGGAAAGAAAGACCCTGGCCACAGAGGCAGGCCTGGGCCACTCTGAGCTCTTCCCTTTCTCCTCCCCCCACATTCCAAACATTCTCCTGTCCTCCACACACCAGTCCAGGGCCCTGCCAGCACCCACAGGCAAAAGCACCTAAGCCACAAGCACTGGCCAAACCAAAAGAGCAACTTTCCCAGAAACTTCAGCCTCCTTTGGGATAGGCACACTTAAGCCTCAGCCTGATGTCTGCAGAGCCTCAGGGAACCCAGCCTTGGGGGGGGGGGCAGGATCACAGAGGGAGGTGCCGCGTCTGGGTATGTTTCTCTCGCACCCCTCCACTGCTGCCAGTGCTGCCTGTGCAGCCACAGTGGGTTGAGTTCAAAGGTCACCAACACTTCTGTTAGAGCAGCAGTCCCCAGCCCCTGAGAAATAGCCCTATGTGTATTATAAAGACCAGTGGCTGAGAGTCAAACTCACCTATTCAGAACAGGTATGAGATTGGCAGGGGGCCCACAGAGGGCAAGCACTGCCTGCCAGAACCCAACACAGCCAGGCCCACAGGATGACCACACCTACCCTGGCCACACATGAGCAGAGACAGGGAGTCAGAGCTGGCAGATGCGGAGCTAAAGGACAACATCCATGTCCTCCAAGGGCCTGTATCTGAAGGGCAATTAGGGGCCCTGCTGCCACTTCTGTGTCCCTACAACTCCCTGCAAAAGGAGAAGACACTCCCCACTGGGTCCCCTCCAGGGAGATGTGCTGGGGCAAGGAAGACTAAAAGGCCCTCCACACCTATTCAATTTGTAGCTGTGTGAATGAACTGAGGGAGGAAGGTTTCCCAGCCCTTGGCTGAGCTGGGTTTGGAGGGGTCTGCAGCCACCTTAGAGCAGTAGGTGCTGCTTCTCATCCCAAGGCCACCTGAGCAGCCACTCCACGCCAGTCACTGTTCAGGGAACATTCTGGATGGACTGCGGGCGGGGGTACACACCACAGGACCTCATGGTAACAATAAGCACAGAGAAAGGTAAGTAAACAGGGTCCTTCAGGGCTGTGGGACAGTGAAGTCAACAGGAATGCTTTCCCCAATGCTAACCCTACCGGAATGTGGCATGTAGGAACCCTGGGGACAGCAGCAATCTGAGGCCAGGGAGGGCTGAGTCAAGGAGTGGACACTGGGGAGACTCACAAGCTGCCCCCCAGGGAGCTGGAAAAAGAGCCCAGGGTGTGGGGCTGATGTTCCTGAGCAAGCTGCAGGGCTGACTCACAGAGCAGCCAGGGACCAGCTGGCTTCCTTCAAGCAGAAACCTCAGCCTGCGCAGGCGCGGCAGGCATCAGCCAGACCCCACCTGCCAGACCATGGGGAGCGGCCTAAGACCCCTGAGCCAGGTAGACACACAGATCACAGCTGGGGACCCCCGAGCTTCCTATCCAGGACCTGCTCCAAGCCATTCCCTGCCTTCATGAGTTTGTTCAAAGCCTGTGTAGAAAATCGGGGAGTGTAGCACCCCCAGGAAAATAAAGCAATGATTGCTACTGCAGAGGGCCTGAGACTTGCCTGTGTCACTGTGGGGCTGCACTTGGGTTCGTGCTCTTCCTCGGGCAGTGGCACTGTCCTTGCTTTTCCCACTCCCAGTGCCACCCAGCCCTGCACCCTGCTGCCTCCGAGCCGCCTACCCGGGGGTCGATGACCAGGTAGGTGCGGATGTTCATTTCTTTCAGATAGGGGTCCCGCTGCTGCCCATGCCCGTCCTCCACTTCATAGGCCTTGTCCAAGTGGTTCAGTGTGGCCTCCGTGATGTGTACCCGGCTGGGGGAGACTCAGGTCAGACACAGCAGCAGGGCCCAGAGAGAGCTGGCACCCAGCTGGGGGCACACCGCAGACAGGACCAAGCAGGGCCAAACTCGGGCTGGCACAGGTGCCAGGCACACACTGATCTGTCCCCTGCCTCCACGTGGACCAGCCTTCACCTCCCTCAGCCCAGAGACTGCCCCCAGGGCCTGACCCCACCCCTCGAAGCCTTACCCAGGGACTCCAGCTGCCTCCATCCTGTTGGCCAGGGACACATCGTGTGACCACACGTCATATTGCCACTTACGCAGCCCAATGACCCCACACAGCACGTTCCCCGAGTGGATGCCCACGCGCATGCTGATGTCGACACCTGTGGCCTCCCGCACCTGTCTGGGGCACAGCACAGTGGTGTTGTCATTCCACCCCAATCAGGACCCCAGGGTCAGCCCCCACTCAGGGACAAGTGGAGGTCCAGGTCTGGACAGACAAAGAGGATGGGCAGTGCAGCAAAGCCACCTCCTCAGAGGTCACAGAGCGTCTGTCTCTAAGAACAGCAAATGACACAGCCACCTCCAAGCTCAGGAGCTGAGCAGGAAGGAGCAGAGCCAAATTCTCTAATCATGGTAGCTCATGTCAATTGGCTACAAACCCATCCTTGGCATCCCCACCTGGAAGCCCTGCTGGGTCTGAAAAGGCTATTGGGGTACACAGGGGGCCTGGGCACCACCCAGGATGCAGCAGGGATGAGAGACATGCCCCAGGGTCCTCCTGTGCCACACAGGAGCCCTGCATATCGCTGCATCACTGGGCTTTGGTTCCCCAACTTAGAGCTTCCAGGGACATGGGAGACCATGAGCAGCACCTCTGGATCCTGTGGACAGCAGGGAGGGACAGGGCACACAGGGACAGGGCACCCCTTGTCCACCACCCCAACTGGGGTGGGCTGGAGCTGAGGAGCAAAGGGGCATCTGCACCAAGTTCAGGCAGGCTTCTGAGGTCACACAGAGGTCCTGAGCCAGAAAGGGACCAGCACTGACTCTGGAGGTGACTCTACCACAGCACAGGCTGTTCTGGTGGGGCTTCAGGAGGTTTTGGGGAACACCTGGGAGCCACAGGCAGCACTGCTTTACCCCAGCTCACCTGGCTTCTGCCAGCTTGGCCCAAGGGAAATCCTTCCCATGAGCCCAGAGGACTTTGTGAGGAGTGGGAGGCCGGCGGTGAGGAGCCCAGGGTCTCCCCGCAGCCTGAGGCCAGTCCTCGACTCACAGAGCAGGAAGCAGATGGAGCCTTTGGGTGCACCTGACTCCCAAGGTCTCCTGCTGCCTTCCCTGAGTCCCCCTCATGCTATTGCTGAGACTTGGTCCTGAGAGAGATGTCACAGGGCTTATCCATCCTCACATCATCAGCTGTGAGTTTCTGAGACCCGAGGCTGGAACCCTGAGGGCAGTGGCAGAGCAAGGGGCCCACAGAGCAGAGTCCACCAAGGGACCAAGCCACCTCTCATGTGCCCACAGCCTCAGCACTTACTTAATGGCCTCGCACATGTCCAGCCCCATCTTCACACAGTTCCGGGCATGGGTGGGCAGGGATACGGGCAAGCCTGACACACAGTAGTAGCAGTCACCCAGGATCTTGATCCGCATGCACTCGTTGGCCTGTGGACACGAGCCTGGTCAGTGGAGTCTGAGGCCACATGGCCCAGACAACCACCCTCTTACCATCCACCAGCAGCAGCTTCTCCTGGCAGGATGGGGCCCACAGAAACTGGAAATACCCAAACCAGGCATCAAGGAGGAAAGCAAGTGGGCCTCTGCTCTGTTCCATCTGCTCATACCCTGTCTGAGCACCTACGGTGTCCCTGGTGCTGGGCCAGGCAGTGCCACAGAGCAGGGGTTCAGAGTGTGAACCCCTCTGTGTGATCCACGTGTGCTGGAAGGATGCGGATGCTGTCGGGTGTGTCAAGTTCTATTAGGAAGTGAGGCTTGGAGCGAGAGGAAGTGCTCAGCAGGCCAGAGGCCACTCCCAGAAGGAACATCTGAGCAAAGACCCTGAGAAGTAGAGTAAGCGAACCATGCCAGCCCTAGGAGGAAGCACATTCCAGGCATGTGCAAAGGGCCAGGGACCAGCAAGTTGTCTGAGACAACCAGGCAGCCAGGATGGGGAAGGAGGAGGGGTAGCAGGTGCCCTAAACTCTAGTCAGCAGGTGTCAAGTTCAGCCCAGAGATGGCCCTGGCATTAGGCTTTGGGGAATGGAGAGAAAGGCAGGAAGGAGGGAATGTGGGGTGGCAGTGGGGGCAGGCTGTATCCTCCTGAGAGAAATCTAGGAGGCCTGGGAGGCTGACTTAGGCCCAATCTGAGGCAGTGCTCTGGCCTCCACTCCCGATCCCAGTTCTCAGCAAGGGTGGCCATCTGTACCAGCATAAGACTCTGGACCTGAAGTCCTGCTGTGCCTGCTGGTTGACGCTGGGCCCAAAGCCCTGTGCTCTCGTAACATCCTCACCCTCTGCCTTGACCCTCCAGTGCCCTTCTGCAGGGTAGTTCAGGCTGTCATGCCACTGGACCATCTGTCCCAGGTCTTGGCCCTGGCCTGTGCCCACCCTCCTCTTGGCCTGGGGGTGTCTGTCCAATGTCACGACACAGTGCCTTGGCATGGCACAGCCTCCCCTCGGCATGTCCCTGCACCTGCCCGGCCCATGACTAGCCCTGTGGAGAGGCCCCTTATACTGCACCAGTCTGCATGTGTGCTTGGTGCTGGCCCTGGCAGGTACAAGCTTGGCACAGTGGTGTGAGTGGAGAGAAGGCGTCAGACAGGAACTGGGTGTCCAGCCCATCCCCTGACACCCTCTCGAGCAGACACAAGGCTATCCCCTATCCCCCACCATCAAGAACTTAGAGGAAGCCATGGGCCCAGGCTGCTCCTGCACAAGTCCACTGGCCTGCAGTATCCTTGGCAGTTGGAAGTTGGAGGACAGGGCCATGAGGCCCTAGGCCCTGGGAGGAGGTAGGTATTCTGAGGTCTGATCAGTAACAGGAGAAAAGGCAGCAGTTCCCCTGCTGTCTCTCCTAAATTGGATGCCCAGCCAGCAGACTGTATCTGCCCTGGCTCCCTTCCCCATAGAAGCAATGGAGCTATGGCTTGGGGACCTGAGGGAGAGGGAGAACTGCCCAAGAGGGGGAGGTCTGTGAGCTTCTTGTCAGAAAAAGGCCAGCTGTAACCCGAGACTCTCCTCCCTACCTCACATATAGTCCAACTTACTGGCTCTCAAGCCAGAGAGCTCCTGAATGAAGGCTCCAGGCTCAGTGAGCCTTTGAGCCTCTCAGTCCACAATGCCCAGGAAAGGACAGCTCTCCAGAACATCCCAGGTCAGTGGTATCCTACACTGTTTGGTTACTTTCTGCGATGGAGAGCTCACTCCCTGTAAGGGGGAGCCCGCTCCTGGCAAGGCAATCCCTCTCAGGACTGACCATCTTTAAACATGAAAAATTCTTTGCAGGGTGGGATCCAAGCTTGCCTCCCATCCATTCTGGACCACTGTGTCCCCCCCCCCCCAGAGTTACCTGAGGGCCTCCTAGAAATTCTGATGGGCGTAGGAACCAGCATTGAGGTTTTAGTTTTCCAGGTGATGTACATGGCAGCCAGGAGAGGGAGCCACTACCTTAAACCTATCCTGCAGTCCCTGCTTGGGGGCCACCACTTCCCGGAAGCCTGCCCTGGCCACTTGAGCAACCTAAGGGCAGGACCAGGCCCACAGGAGCCAGGAGGTCTCAGGCCATTTGGTAAGTTCATGAAAAAACAAACAAACAACAACAAAAAAAACACCTTATGCCTGCTTCAGCAGCACAAAAATTGAAATGATACAGAGAAGATTAGTGTGGCCCCTGTGCAAGGATGCCACATAATTCATGAAACTTCCCATGTTTTTATGCTGCAACAGACCCAAAATCCAAAAACTGGCTCCACCAAGAAATAGTCTTTTTCTGTGGGTTCTAAATACTAACAATAAAACAACCCACCATGTGGGCTGGTATAAGCATCACCCCAGGAATTAAACTAAAACTGGGCCTGGGAGATAGCTCAATCTTTGGTAGCAAAAAAATAATAAAATAAATGTAAATATACAAAAAAAAAAAAGGCCATGGAGATAGCTTGCCTGCCTCGGCAAGCACAAGGACCCAGGTTCGATCCCCAGTACCACATGCCATGCCATCCCTACCCTGGATGCATCAAACCAGCCACCAAGACTGAGCGTGATGGCTCATGCCAGTAATCCCCACACTGGGGAGGCTGAAACAGGAGAATCACTATGAGTGAAAATACACTTAAACAAGATGCAATCACAGACATCCAGTTCAGCAAAGGCAAACCCAGGGACAATGAGGTGGGACAATCCGAAAGCCACCCACCTGGCCTCTCTGAAGTGCTGACAACAAAACAATTAAATGAGGCTTTCAATGGTTTGAAAAAAATCAAACCAGAAATAATTTCTCAGATAACTGCAGAAATAGTGTCCACAATGAAAACCACGCTTAGTGACTCTAGAGCAGATATAGATTTTAAAAATATAGAGGAGCTTAAGAAAATTATGGAAGGCACAAATACTCAGCATAAGAAAGAAATGGAATCCATAGCCAGATTCAGCCAGATATCCAGGAGAATAAAAATTCCATTGAAAATGTAGGCAGCCTATTAAGCTAATGTGAGGACAGGATCTCAGATCCAGAAGACAGACTTGCAGTTAGCAATCACAAAAAGAAAAGACTTCTTAAAAATAACAAGGGACCATGAGAAATTAATCTGGCAGCTGCTAGATGAGGCAAAGAAGAATAACAAGATTGAGTGGAATAAATGAAAAAGGAGACAACACAAATTATACTTTAAAAACTGGTTCACAGACATCATGGCATAAAAATCTCCTGGTAGGGAAAAAGAATTTGACATACAGTAATGAGACATATAGAACTCCAATTGGCTATGATTTAAAAAAAAATACACAGCCCGGCATATCATAGTCATGATTCCAGGAATTTAATACAATAATAGAACCTTAAAAGCTGTTAGGCAAAAGAAACAAAGCATTATAAAGGAAAGCCCATCAGAAGCACAGCTAACTTCCTAGCACAAACCCTCAAGTCAAGGAGAGTCAGAGTAAAGTATTTCAAGCTCTAAAGGAAAACAACTTTCAACCCTGAGAAACAATTTCAAAACTAGTGGAGAAATAAAAGACTTCCATGACAAAGCACATCTGAGGAACTTTATGACCACCAAACCAGCACTTCAAAATGTTTTAAAGGACATTCTAGAAAGAAATAACAAGGACTACAACCCCATGAACCCCAAAACAAGGAATCCATCAGGTAAGGTGAACAATTAAACAGGAAGGAGAAAAGGGGTGCCAACAACAAGAAAATAACATGACAAAGCAAATCAATACATACAACTGATACCAGTTATAACCATCAGTGTTAATTGTCTCAATTCACCAATCAGAAGATAAGCCTGACAGAATGGATCAAGAAGCAAGATTCAACAACATGCAGTATACAAGAAACACATTTAATTCAAAATGAAACTGAAACTTCCCTGGTGGTCTAGTGGTTAGGATTTGGTGCTCTCAAAATGAAACTGAGGGCCAGGGAGATGTCTCAGCAGCATAGTAAGTACAAGACTCAGAGTTCAATTCCCAACACCAAAGGGGGGGGGAGAGAGAGAGAGAGAGAGAGAGAGAGAGAGAGA